TGGTGGGCGAAGGAGCGACGAAGGCGAGGGGCAAGGGGGAGCCGGCGGCAGCTTTTGACCTCCCTGGCCCCTGAGGATCGGTGCGCCCAGCTGCAGGGGGAGAAGGGAAGAGGCGGTGGTGGCGGTGGTGGTGGTGGTGGTGGTTGTGGTGGTGGTGGTGGTAATGGTGGGCAGTCCTGCGCCTCAGAGCCGGATGGGTGGGGGGTCCGACTGCCTTTGCTCGTCTGCACACTAAGGCTCAGTCACTTGAAGATGTCCCCTACTGGCAGAAAGGAGGTGGAGGATGAGAGGGAGGAAAAGGAGGAAGAAGGGGAGGAGGAAGACAAACTGTTCCTCCTCCTCCTCCTCCTCATCCTACTCCTCTAACTCCTCTTCCGTGTTGTATTGGACGAACTCGAACCACGGAGCCAGAGCGTTCCACTGGTTTACAAATTCGTCAAGCCGACCTCCGCAAAACGCGAACGGGCAAGATCTGACGGACAGGGCATGAGAGACAAATAAAAAAGTAGGCCCAAAGGATCGAAGTATACGCTAGCCTAGCATCGCTGGCTGGAGTGAGGGAGTCCGGACCGAAAGTGAAACGATTACAAACATACCGAGTACGGAACCAAACTTGAGAGGTATATCGAAACACGCGTGCAGGGAAAAGTGACTGCCTGCTCGATGTTCTGCAGTGTCGTCCAAATGCTATCTAGCATTGTGTAGGCTGGGCAATCACGTGCGAGCTATAAGCAAGCTTGGCCGTACTGGCAGGGCTGCGGTACTGGAATATTGCATAGGCTCTATGGGCACTGAGGGACTTATCTGAAAAACTTGACAATGAGAAATGCAGCGCGTTGTGTGTGCGCGCTATTGAATGGCTGCAAATAGATGGCACGCTGTAGGCAAACACTGTGCAAACTAGCCTGTGTAATTCAACGGCCTGGCAACTGATAGCCACTTAAGTGTGATGACAGGCTGGCGCAGACGGCGCTAGCTGGCCTAAGCAGCAAAAGTCCTCCTCCCCCAAACCTGTCAATCGCACGTTAGACTCCCCCATCCCATATCAGTAAGGCTGGCAGGCATGGTGCGAGTGCTCTCGAAAACGACGGGCGGACTTGCAGCTTAAGCATTGTCAAACACGGCGTGCAAGACAATCGCTGGATGTGCAAGACAAACGCTGGACTGGTCGCGCGTATCGATGGTATTGCTGGGACTGCAGAGTGCTAGGAATCGATTCATTTGACGGTCGTGGGTTCGAGTGACCATATCGTGGGTGGCCACCCTGGATTTGCTGAAGTTAGTGCGAGCAGCTCGAACTGGGTCGGAGGCGTGTTGGGATGCGTCGGTGGTGGAGGCCGTCTAGCTGTGCCTCTCCATTGGTTGTGATGGTGTATGATGTAGTCTGAAGTCGTGCGGACCTCAACGTACTGAGGCTGCTCGTATGTAGTAGGTCGAGTGATGTACCGGTGCCTCCTGTCGATAATCAAAAGGACCATGCTGAGCGGAGTGCCGCCGCCCCCAAGGTGTGCAGTGAGGCTGCTAGTAGTTTAGTCAGCGAGCGCAGTTCCGAGCCTGCGTCGATGTTGTCGTAGCCGTTGGTCATTGAACAGATGAATCGGTTGTTCTGCGAGTGTGTATCGTGAGGATGCCTCTGTTCTCGTCTATGGCACCGCTTGGTGATCTGCTGATTGTAAACTCTTGCAGAGGGTCTCCGTGAGGCCTCGCTCGGTACCGTCGCTGTCGCAGTAGGCGTACTTGAGTCGTGCGCGTTATGTGCTATGTTTTCTGCAAGCTCGTGCCATGGTACGGGAATGATGATCTGGATGTCGCGCTCATGTACTTCTTGTCCTTGTACAACTGGTTGACCGCCACGTCGTCTTTAGAGTGGCCTGAAATATGGACTGTCGCATAGTCGTAGAGCCGTGTGGTTGGCAGGGGTGTCATGGTAGCGCATCTGCTGCCAGCGTCCTTGTGTCGTTGAGTAGTTAGTTGGTTCAGTTGTTGGAAGTACCTTTCGAAGTTGTTGGGTATGTATGCTCTGTCCTGCGGTGTAGGCCCATCCCTGGGACCTGGTGGGTATTCGTGTCCAGGCCAGAGCGCAATGTAGACAACTATGTTCTCCAACTCCTCCTTCATGACCTGCTGCGTATGACTGTCCTCGTAGTGGCGTGGCGTTCGCGGGATCCATATGCCGGTTGGGGTAGCAGTGCATCGAAGTGTTGGGTGTGGTCCTCATTCTCTTTGGTGAGTAATGGTGGCAGATTGTCGTCTCCGTCGTCCGTGTTGTGGTTGGTGGGAGAGGGGCTGAGTTCCTCCATTAGGTGCCTGCGGTTGCATACATATGTGTTGGTTATCGCCTTTGGCTGAATAGGTCATGTAGACCTCCAGCGGATCTAACCATGCGAACAGCGGTACGTTCGCATAGTCAGAAACGGGGTATACCATAGAGGCCATTATCTTATGTGGGGATGTAGGTGTGATGTGTTCTACATGATAGAAGTAAGCGACAGGACCCGCAGAGGCATGCGAACTAGCATTTGACACACAAGTGCCGCGGCAATAGAACATGCAGTATGACCGATGTCCACGGCACGTATTCATTTCCACGTACGCCAGTGGTGCCAATCGCGACGAGGCATGTAAACACGTACTCGTGTAGATGGCGAAATGATGCGTGTTGTTTCGCCATGCGGCTATGCAGGTAGGGAGACCCGTCAAGCTTTACGAATGTATGCCGTACAAAAAAAGAGAGAGCAACGTGCGGACGCCGCGATGCGTGCGTGCGGGTAGAATTATCCTCCTCCTCCTCCTGCTCCTCCTCCTCCTGCCCCTCCTCATTCTTCCTCCTCTTCCTCCTCCTCCTCCTCCTCCTCCTCCTCCTCCTCATATTATTCCTCCTGCTCTCCCCACCCCCGTGGGCGGGAAGGGAGAATGCCCAGATTCCCAGCCAGGGGGGGGGGGGGGGAACGGGGAAAGGCCCGCGCGGCGGGGGCCCCAGGCGGCGGCGCCTGTTCGCGGAGCTCGTCTCCAGCGAGAGCAGCAGCCTTGATCACCACAGCCACCTCCTCCTCCCACCCCCAGCCTACCCGTCCTCATCCCCCTCTGCCTCACCCTCCTCCTCCTCCTCCTCCTCCTCCTCCTCTCCTCCTCCTCCTCCTCCTCCTCCTCCTCCTCCTCCTCCTCCTCCTCCTCCTCCTCCTCCCTCCTCCTCCTCCTCCCTCCTCCTCCTCCTCCTCCTCTCCTCCTCCTCCTCCACCTCCTCCTCCTCCTCCGCCTCTTCCTCATCCTCATCCTCATTATCATCATAAGCATCAGCATCATCATCATCATCAGCAGCATCATCATCATCATCATCATCATCATCATCATCATCATCATCAGCATCAGCATCAGCATCAGCATCAGCATCAGCATCAGCATAATCATCATCATCATCATCATCAGCATCAGCATCAGCATCATAAGCATCATAATCTGCATCATCATCATCACCATCATCAGCATCATCATCAGCAGCAGCAGCATGATTGATCATCATTATCATCATCATCAGCATCATCATCATCATCATCAGCATCAGCATCAACATCATCATCATCATCCGCATCCGCGGTCTCATCATCATCCTCATCATCATCATCATCAGCAGCAGCATCAGCATCATCAGCATCATCATCATCAGCAGCAGCCAAATTCTCATCATCGTCAGCATCATCATCAACAGCATCATCAGCATCATCATCAGCAGCATAAGCATCAGCATCAGCATCATCAACATCATCATAATCAGCAGCATCAGCATCGGCATCAGCATCATCATCAGCAGCATCATCATCATCATCGTCAGCATAATCATCAGCAGCAGCATCATCAACAGCAGCATCCACATCATCATCAGCATCATCATCAGCATTAGCATCATCATCAGCATCACCATCATCAGCATCGTTATCATCGCCATGATCATAATCATCATAAGTATCATCAGCATCACCATCTCAACCACCATCACCACCACCATCACCAGCATCATCAGCAGCATCGTCATCACCATCAGCATCATCATCAGCATCGTCAGTATCATCATCATGGTCAGTATCATCATCATCATCAGCAGCATCATCGTCAGCATCATCATCAACAGCAGCCGCATCATCAACAGCCGCATCAACATCATCAGCATCACAGTCATCAGCATCGTTGTCATCGTCATCATCATCCTCATCCTCAGTATCATCAGCATCGCCATCACCGCCACCATCACCACCACCATCACCAGCATCATCAGCAGCATCATCATCACTATCAGCATCATCATCAGCATAATCCTCATCATCATCAACATCATCAGTATCATCATCAGTATCAGCATGATCAGCATCATCATCAGCAGCAGCACCGTCATCACTACCATCACCATCCTCATCAGCATCATCATCATCATCATCGTTATCTGCAGCATCATCAGCATTGTCATCATCAGCATCATGATCATCATCAACAGCAGCATCCTCATCAGCATCATCGTCATCAGCATCATCAACATCATCAAGCATCGTCAGCAGCATCAGCAGCAGCATCAGCAGCATCATCGTCGGCATCATCATCGTCATCAGCATCATCATCATCATCAGCATCGTCATCATCAGCATCAGCAGCATCATCAGCATAACCATCAGTATCATCAGCAGCAGCATCGTAAGCAGCAGAATCATCATCAGCATCATCAGCATCATTCTCATCAGCATCATCATCAGCAGCAGCATCAGGGTCGTCATCATCATCATCAGCATCATCTCATCGTCAGCAGAAAGATCAGCATCATCGACATCATCAGCATCAGCATCATAATCATCACAATCTGCATCATCATCACCAACATCATCAGCATCAGCATGGTCATTGTCATCATCGTCATCATCATCATGAGCATCGTCATCGTCAGCATCGTCATCGTCATCATTATGAGCATCATCAGCAGCATCGTCCTCATCATCTTCATCCTTATCATTATCATCATCAGCAGCATCATCACCATCATCCTCATCATCATCCGCATCCTCATCGTCATCCGCATCCTCTTCCTCCTCCGCGTCATCATCCTCCTCCTTCCCCGCCCCCTCCCCCCCCCCCCCCACTCCCCCTCACCTACTTGTCATATCAGTGCCCACCCTCATTCTGCTACTCGTCATTCTCCTCCTCCTCCACCTCCTCCTCCACCTCCTCCTCCTCCTCCGCCTCCTCCCCGCCGTCATCTTCCTCCTCCCCCCCCCCCCTATTCCTCCTCCTCCTCCCCTCCCCTCCTCCTCCTCCTCCTCCTCCATCTCCTCCTCCTCCTCCTCCTCCTCGCCCTCCTCCTCCTCCTCATCATCAGCATCAGCATCAGCATCAGCCTCATAATCATCATCACCAGCATCAGCATTATCATAATCGTCGTCGTCGTCATCATCGTCATCATCATCATCATCATCATCATCATCATCATCATCATCATCATCATCACCATCAGCATCATCATCATCATCATCATCATCATCATCAGCATCGGCGTCAGCATCATCATCATAATCAGCATCAGCATCAGCATCAGCATCAGCATCAGCATCATCATCATCATCATCATCATCATCATCAACATCATCATCGTCATCATCATCCTCATCATCATCCGCATCCTCCTCCTCCTCCTCCTCCTCATCCTCCTCCTCCGCGTCCTCCTCCTCCTTCCCCGCCCCCTCTCCCACCCCCCCCTCCCCCTCACCTTCTTGTCATATCATTGCCCGCCCTTATTCTGCTACTCATCATTCTCCTCCTCCTCCTCCTCCTCCTCCTCATCCTCCTCCTCCTCCTCCTCCTCCTCCTACTCCCCGTCTTCATCTTTCTCCTCCACTCCACCCCTTCCTCCTCCTCCTCCTCCTCCTCCTCCTCCTCCTCCTCCTCCTCCTCCTCCTCCTCCTCCTCCTCCTCCCACTCCTCCTCCTCCTCCTCCTCCACCTCCTCCTCCTCCTCCTCCTCGCCCTCCTCCTCCTCCTCCTCATCATCAGCATCAGCATCAGCATCAGCATCATCATCATAATCATCATCAACAGCATCAGCATCATCATCGTAATCGTCGTCATCATCATCATCATCATCAGCATCATCATCATCATCATCATCATCATCATCATCATCATCATCATCATCATCATCATCATCATCATCATCATCATCATCATCATCATCATCATCAGCATCAGCATCAGCATCAGCATCAGCATCAGCATCAGCATCATCATCATCATCATCATCATCATCATCGTCATCATCATAATCAGCATCATCAGCAGCATCGTCGGCATCATCATCATCATCATCAGCATCATCATCAGCAGCAGCATCAGCATCAGCATCATCAGCAGCAGCGTCAGCAGCAGCATCAGCATCATCATCATCATCATCATCATCATCATCATCATCATCATCATCATTATTGTACTCCCTCCTCCTGCTGATCCTCATGTTCACCCATCTCCTCCTCCTCCTCCTCCTTCTCCTCCACCATCCCCTTCCTTCGAAATACTCCCTCCGTGTCGCACCCCCAGAGCTGTCGGTAGGGCGGGCCGGGCGTTTCGCCTGAAACCTCCTCGCCACGTATGACCCTGATACTTGGAACTTGCAACAGCTTCAAGAACGGAGAGTGGGCAGTTTTTAAATTGTGGCTATCGCCTTAACGCCGCGAACATTCGCCGTAAATATTGCAAAATATTCTAGAGCGGAGGGTTCTTATCGTCTTTTCGCCGCGCACACTCGTCGTAATAGTGTGCAGGAGTTTTCACGGATGGAAGGCGGGTCGGTTTCGAAATGCGGCCATCGCCTTAGCGCTGCGCACATTCAGTTTAAACCCTTGCAGGAGTTCACGGATGGAGGGCGGCTGCTTTTCAAAGTTTTGATTTCGCCGTAGCGCCGCGCACATGCGACTTAAAGTTCGCAAGAGCTTCACAGATGGAGGGCGGATCGTTGTCAAGATGGTGCTCTCGCCTCAGCGCCGCGCACATTCGTCTTGAAAGTTTGCACGAGCTTCACGGATGAAAGGCGGGCCGTTTTCAAAATATGGCTATCACCTCAGCGCCGCGCACATTCGTCTTAAAAGATGGCAAGAGTTTCGCGGATGGAGGGCGGTTCGGTTTGAAAATGTGGCTCTCGCCTGATATCCCAGAAAGTCAAAGAACTGATGCTCTGGTGCGATTCAGGATTGTCAAAACCCCCAGGATCTCGATGGTTTGCGGCACTGCAGTCCCAAGAACGGCGCTCTGACACGATTCTGGAACTGTCAGGACGCAGCAGTGACATTGATCCGCGGCGATGAAGTCCCAGGAATTGCGGCTTCGCACAATTGAGGATTCTCACACGGTTGTCTTGTAATGGGCCACGTCCCGCAATGAACATCAATTCCTTTGGAGACCTATACAGAGGGAACGTCGAGGGAGGGTGTATTGCTGCATCGCTAATGCGTGCTCATCCTCGTATTGCTCCCCCCCTTCCTCGAAGCCCTCTTCGATTCTAATACCTAAAATGTAACTCCGCCCCGTCGCACCACTACACGTGTCTGAAGGCCAGGCGGGGCGTTTCGCTTGAAACGCCCCTACAACTTACTATCCCCAAGCTTCAAATTCGAACAACTACACGGATGGACAGGGGGTCATATTCAATATGGATCTCTCGCCTTAGCGCCGCGCACATTCGTCTCCAAAGCATGGAAAATTAGCACAAGTGGAATTATATCTGCTTTCAAATTCAAATTGGAACTGCCGCCCTGACGCCGCGCACACCCGTAGTGAAAGCTTGCAACAGGTGCACGGATGCATTTGAAAACGGGGTTCTCGCCCTAGCGCCGCACCCATTCGTTATTGATTTCCCGTTGAGTTTGTGAATTAGTTTCGAGGTCTCGCCTTCTTGGGCTTCCGAAAATCTAAGACGGCTCGAGAGGCCTCTGGACTGGCCCAAGACAGCCCGAGAGGCCTTCACGAAGGTCCAGAGACGCCCTAAGAGGGCCCTAACGGCCGCAGAGGCCCCCAAGACGGCCAAAAGGCCTTCGAGAGGACCCCAAGAGGTGCCCAAGAGAGGCCCAGCAGGAGGAACTCGCAGGGACCCCCGAACCTTCCCCCACAAGATGGCCCTCGAGACCCCAAGCATGCCCCCAAGAGGCTCCCGAAAAGCCCCCAGAGGGCCCCACAAAGCCCCAGTAGCCCTGGAAAGCCTCCAGGAGGCTCCGCACAACTCCTCTTCTGGAGGTCGGCGAAATGGGGTAAGCCTCCTGAACCTGCTCAAATCACATCCCGGAAGATGTCGGGAACCAACGTCTGCGGGGGCGGGGGAGGAGAATGTCCGCCTGCGTCCCGCCTCCCACCCCTTCCCTCCCTCGCCCCTCCTTCTGCCCCTTCCCGCTCTCTCCTCATGGAGGTGCACTGCGTGTACATGCTCGGCGAGATCTCAGCAGGGCCTCAAATACCTCACACCGTGGCCAGGTAGAAAGCGCGTGATCCGGCCATGTCTTCCCCTCGTCGCAGGGTCCCGCCGCTTTCTCTTCTAGAGCCGAGAGGACCGGAGGTGGAGGCCGCACGAGTCCTCCAAGGGGAGGGGCCTGGCTCGGAAGCGGCCCCGGCGCAGGAGTCCCTGGCCATAGGTCGGGCATGTCCTCCCACAGGCGGATGTTGGAAGAACAAGGAGCAAGATTCGTCCCCTGACTGCTTTTTGACTGTCTTTGAATACTCCTCCTGTAGAGGGGCATGACATGCCCGACTGAACCCTGGCCCCCTCTCCTCTGGTTGGCGCGCAGAGCAGCCCGCCGCCCTCGGGCGGCGCGGCAGCTCCCGTGGAGCTGCCTGACCCTGGCGCCAGCGGGCCGAGCCCTCGGCGGGGCGCCAGCGGCGTGGGGGGGCCGTGGGCTGGAGGCCTGGAAACGGGCACCGACACCAACACTAGAGGTTGCCTCCACAGGGGTAAGATGATCCCAGATTCTGGTGTTGGTGGTGATAGGTCGGCCACCCAGGGAGCCCGCATAGTACCACCGTCACCGAGATCGTGATCAGATTCCCTCGGTGAAGGCACACCGCCGATCTTGGTGTTGGTGTCAACCTCTAGGCCTCCGAGTGGGGGGCCAGAGGGTGGCGCGAGCGGCGCTGGGAAAAGCGTGCTCGCCTCGCCGATGTTGCGGCCTTACGCACGCTTGGCCACGCGATGGCCGAGGCTGGTCCTGTCGTGGTCAGTCGTCGCGGACCCCAGGGGCCAGGCCAGGAACCTTCGACTGGTTTAAAGGGCTCTCGCGTGAGCCCAAGACCCGTGCCAACCAGCGATGCAAACTCGCTCGGTTAGAGCGGGGCCAGCACACGACCAAGAAGTAAGTGGTGCGTGATGTCACTTCGCAAGGTGCGTTCGGACAAATTGGACGCGCCCCTATTGCTCCTTACCTCCTCACCTCCTTACCTCCTTACCTCCTCCTCCTCCTCCTCCTCCTCCTCCTCCTCCTCCTCCTCCTCCGCATCATCATCATCATCATCATCATCATCATCATCATCATCATCATCATCATCATCATAATCATCATCATCATCATCATCATCATCATCATCATCATCATCATCATCATCATCATCATCATCATCATCATCATCCTCTGTCTCCAGCTCCTCCTCCCACTCCTGCGCCTCCCCCTCCCCCTCACGGCCTGGGCCATGGGAGGATGAGGGGGGACGGGGAGGAGAAGGCGGAAAGAGGGGAGGTGTGGAGCAAAACTAAGCCACGATGAGGGCTCAGTGGAGAATCTCTGAGCGCAGGTGGGTCTGGAAGATGCATTGGGCGCCGCGCCCGTTCCCGAGCGCTCCAGAACGGCCGCGGAGCGTTCCAAAAACCTCTGGAGCGACGTGTCTTCATCCTGAGCTTCCCTGAAGGAGGGAGGCGAGAAGAGATCGGGGCCGACCGCCAGGTTCACAGGGCACGACCGGAACACCGATCTGGAGGGTCAGGGAAGACGCCCTGGCGCGCAGAGACTGCCCAGGTGTAAGCTCCAGGTGCGGCAGCGAGGTGTCGACACGGCAGTCCCGGACAGCTCGAAATCGATGCCGATCTGTCGCGAAGTCTACGTCGGTACAAGCGATAGGTCGATGCAGTTGTCCTGCTTCTGGCCGTGTCGATGTCGATGCATCGTCCCCTTCCCCCTCTCCGCATACATCATGCTCTTCCCCCTCTGCATCCGCCTCACCCTCACGCTCCAAAACTAGCGCACCAGAAAGGCGCGAAGAATGGCCGCTGAAGCCTGACGGAGCTGAGAAAGACAACCAAGACTCCAGTGAAGATGACCACCATCACCTCGGAAAACAAAAGAGGGGCAACCTCATGAGCCCGATGCGCATCACAACAGCCAACATGCCATGGGATGCTCCTATGCTGCCCTGAATGCGGCCACTGTCGTGTAACTCGTGGTTGAGACATAAGGCCTGACATGAGCAACCTGACGCACGCTCTGCAAAACATGCCAAAGCGTATCAGAAGTACCCATGGCAGTATGGAGAATTCCCCTGACGCGACGAATCAGCACTAGCGATGCAGCTCTATGGAATGCGACCCCTGAGTTTGAGTGCCTCTAATTAGGCGCACCTACCGGAGCCCTAGCTCAATGGAATAGAGAGCTGGTCCGCTGAGACCCCACCCTCTAGTTTGCCCCGAAGTATCGCAGTGGCGTCCTCTGCTAGTTCAATGGGTTCCCTGCAATTGCAATGACTTCCTCTGCTATTACAATGGCGGTCTCTGCTATTGCACTGGCTTGCCGCGAATCGCCCAACCATCGTCAAACTTATCCGTAGAATAGAGTAGAGTAGAGTAGAGTAGAGAGTAGAGTATACTAGAGTAAAGGAGAGTAGAGCGGAGTAGGGATGAGTAGAGAAGAATGAACAGGGTAGAGTATGGCAGAACATAATCAAGTAGGGTAGGGTATAGCGAGGAGAGTAGAGCAGAGTATAGCAGAGTAGGAGTAGGGTAAAGTAGAGTACAGCAGAGTAGAGTAACGCAGAGTAGACTAGGAGTAGAGTACGGTAAGAGTATACTAGAGTAGAGAAGAGTAGAATAGGGTAGAGTAGAAACGAGTGAAAGAAGGGTTGTGTAGGAAAGGTGGTACAGTAAAGCCTGTTTCAAAAGAGTAGGGTAAGGCAGGGTAGAGTAGAGCTGCTCAGATTAGAGTGCGTAGAATAGATAATTGAGTAAATAATACACTATCATACGGTAGGCTAAGGTGAAGTGGAACAGAGTAGAATAGAGCACGGTGGATGGTAGAGTGCAGACGGGTAGGGTAGGGTAGAGTGGAGTAGAGTAGAGTGGAGCGGAGTAGAGTCCGCACCAGTCCAGTCCAGTCTACTCCAGTCCAAACTTCAATCCACTCCAGTCTACTTCAGTTCAGCCCTAAAACTGTTCAGAGTCTGCGCTGGCGTGTGTGTTTAGCTGCCCTGGGGGAGGAGCAGGCGGAAGATAAGAAAGAAGCGAGGTAGGAAGAGAAAGGGCGGCGCAGAAGGGAGGAGGGAGGAGGAATACGCATGGAGATTGGAGGGAGAAAGAAGCAAGGATGAGGGAAGACGATGAGGTCGGAAGGGGGAGGGCGAGGGATACGAAGGCAAAAGGAGGGAATGGAGAAATGTTGATCTTCATATGTACATGTATGCGCGTGACTTAGCACAATTGACCTCGCCTTTGCAGCGTTGCTCATCATCGCACAAGACACTCAACCGCGTGGATCGGTCGACACTGAACAACCATGGCGTTCCAGTAGCGCCGATCGCTCGACATTGGCCGCTTCTGGGCCACTGGAGGCGGTTAACCTGAGAACTCCCGCGCTGGGGTCGCCTTGCGCAAACGTGATGCAGACATCCCTTAGCGAACACCGAGACGCGCAGGGCAACTCCAATCGAGCACGCAACCAATCGCACTGGTGCGCTGTCCCATCACGCCACCTCTGTGAGCCGTGCTGGCGAGGGAACGCGGGGCGGGCCGCACCACGTACACGAGAGGGTTCACCTGAGACAGCAAAGCGCCCCAGCATCGCGTCTTGCAGCAGCGAAGGCCAGAGAACACGTGAGAATGGTATCGTTCTCCCTCTCCTGCTTCTACACACTCCTCCTGCGGGCAGGGTCACGTCGCTATGACGTCTGCGCTGTTTTCCGACAACGCGTGGGCCGTTCAACCTTGAATGATCACGGCTTTCCGATAGCGCAGATCGCTGAACATTGGACGATTCCGGGCCACCAGAGGATTTCACCCTCGAGCGCCAGAGCTGGGGTCACAGCCGCGTCGGCGCGGCGCAAACCTGCCGTACTCTCGTTGTTCAGGTCGTGCAACTTGCAACAGACATCACCAAGCGAGACGCATCCCGCTCATGCTCTGGGATGGCTCGGCGGCAAGCGAAAACAGACATGCGCAGCAAATCGTCACTCCACTCCTCTTCGGCGGCGAGCCCCGGGGGGAAGTGAGAGGGGGCAGGCCTTCTCAGAAGGCGGCGCTGCTTCTCAGAAGCCCCCGCGCCTTCTGAGAAGCCGCCTCGGAGGCCTCCCGAGCCTTCTGAGCAGACCCGCCCCCTTCTGACTTCCTTCCTGGGCTCGCCGCCGCCCTCGGAATTCCGCCCCGGAGTGGCCATGGTGGCCGCTCCACCGTGCTCTCCCTGCTGGCCGTCCGGCTGACTGTGGACGGAGCGAAGCCTGCATCGGCCCTGCATGCGTCGAGCGTGGGGCTTCTCCGGCCCGGAGTGGCCACGAGGCCGCTCCACCGTGCCCTCCTCGGCCGGTTTTCTGGGCCACCGGCGGCGTTCAGCCTGGAACGCCCGTGCCAGGAGTCGCCGCCGCGTCGACACGGTGCGAGCCTGCCGTGCTCCTCCTCTTCTCAGCTGAATCTCCTGCCTCTCACACACACACACACACACACCGAGGAGCCCCAGCAAAATCTCCTCCCCCCCCACACACACACCGAGAAGCCCAAGCAAAACATCTTGCAATAACAACGAGCACTGAGCAACCGAACATGGGCTCCTCCTTCTTCTCGTCCCTTCCGCTTTGCAGACGCTCCTCCTCCCACACGCATCGGGTATGGCGGAGCGGAGAGGAAGATGGCATGGCAAGCGGCGGCAGGCCAGGACACGGAAGATCAACATTCCTCAGGGACATCGGTCGAAGCAACACCATGCCCAGAGGGAACGTGATCTACAGTCGGGACGCGCGATAGGGATGCAAGGGCCTTGGACGCCCATTTCGAGGCTTTTCGAGCGGGGCACGGCCAGCGAAACTAGCCAAGGATGGACCGAGGAGGCAAGGATGCAAGGGTAACCTTGGGATGGTTACCTATCCATACGATGCGGGTTGACTGTACCCCCTCACCCCGCCCTGCAAAATATAACTCCTCACATCCCTGCGACGACGAAAGCTGCAAACAAGCCCTTCATGTGATTCCGGATATGACAGTTGCAACATCAACAAACTCTGCAGCATGTGTAGACAAACGCGAAGGGCTGAGTGGTAGCAAAGTTGGTGCGATCAGCATGCTCGGGCAGTGTTCTGAGATGGAGAGTCTGCCAAGCAAAGGGAAGGCCACCGTTTTGGAACTTCTGTGGAACGACCAGATGTACCTCGGCACACCACTTGAACTGTCACCATGTGGGAGCAGCAAGTGAACCGACGCATGAAACGAGACAGCACCGAGACGCGACACGAATCACAAACTGAACAAGTGATATACGAACCAAGAAGCAAACTGCAAAGGGACTTTATCCCCCCCTCCAAAAAAAATGGGACACACAAAGACTCAACGCACGAGCTTATTGACGGACTGGAACCCCAGCAAGACTGGGGAAATCCGCCGATCCAGCGTGTGAGCTACAAGGAGCCTCAGCAAGAGCTTCAGCTCTAGGCCTAAGCAAGAGCTTCAGCTCTGCTTGGGGGAGGTTGCCGGGGTGGCTCTGCCGGGGAAGGGGGGGAGGGGGAGGGGGGGAGCGGTCCCCCATCTGGCGTTTTCTTCATGATCTGCGCATCCGGAACCCCCCGAGGAAGGGGGGGAGGGAGGGGGCGATCCCCCATCTGGCATTTTCTTCCTGATTTGCACATCCCCAAAATGTTTCGGGGGGTCTCAAGGACCCCCCCCAGATCTAGCCGCCACCGCCCCCAGGACTCTCCCCTCGGAACCCTCCCGGGACCCCCCCCCCAAGGACGGCTCCAGGCACCCCCCTTGAGGAGAAGAAAGAGGACCATGAGAATCGAGGGAGGAGGGAGGCCACAGAGCCGCGAAAATCACCGAATCCATTGGCCCCGGATCGGCGGCACTGGCCGGAGGCCATTACAATAGTTATTCCCTGGCGGCGGCCACTGCTGATGATCGGAGGGGGGACGAGGATCCCTGATGGTGATGATGATGATGATGATAATAATGAGAATGATGATAATAATGATGATGATGATGCTGTTGTCGTCGGTGCTGGTGGTGATGGTGATTATGATGATGATGGTGATGGAGATGAAGATGAAGATTAAGATGAAGATGAAGATGAAGAGGGTGATGATGATGATGATGATCATGGTGATGATCATGATCATGATGATGATCATGATGATGATCATGATGATGATCATGATGATGATCATGATGATGATCATGATGATGATCATGATGATGATCATGATGATGATCATGATGATGATGATGATGCTGGTGGTGGTGATGATGATGTTGATGATGATGATGATGATGATGGCGATGATGATGATGGTGATGATGATGATGAGAGGAAGGACGAGGAGAAGAAGGACGAGTTTAACTGCCAGCCGAGAGCTCAGGGCAGGGGGGCAAGCAGCATTAACGACTCTTCGGGGTTACCACAACCAACACCACCACCGACATCAAGACAACTGCAATTCCGATATCCGCCTTCTCCTCATGCTCCACATCACCATCTCATAATCATGACCAGAGCTTCTCCTCATCATCGTCCTCCTCCTACTCAGATTCCTCTTCAGCCTTCCTCACTAAACCGTCCTGCCCAAGTTGAAACCCATGTAACCTTGAGTCGTGCAGTGGGGGAGGCGGAAGGGGGGAAGGGGCACGGAGGAGGAAAAAAAGGATGGATGGATGGAAACGCACCCTACTGGGCAGGCATGTTGAAGCCTCGGGCCGGCTTGGGCAGTGAAGGGGCCACAGATCTGGAGCCCGCAACCGACGGCGACCTCCGCAAAGCCCCTACAGGGAGAACATTGCCCTTCAAGAGCATAGTTCAGGAGGTGCCCCAATACCACCACTCCGACGCAGACAAGGAGAAGGGAGGGGAGGGAGAGGGGAGAGGCGAGCAAGGGCAGCACGAGGAGAGAAGGAAGAGGTGAGGGGACGGGAGAGGAGAAGCGGAGGAGAGAGGACAGACTCTGCACCCTGCGCTCCAGACGGAGGACCTCGGCACAACCCAAGGACGCGCTCAAGATGGGAAGACGTGAGAGAGGGCTCCTGCAGACGCCCATCTCGACGGGGACCCCGCCCGATCTCCCAACCGCCTCATGTCAGCGCAGCGCGCAGCTACGAGGCCTCGGAGAACGGAGAAAAAGAGGTCAACCTAGAGAGGAGCAGGATAACTTATAAAAGAGAGAGGGGGACGAGGAGGGAGGAGGGAGGCAGGGGGGAGAAACCTAAAGAAGGCAAAAAGGTAAAGGGCGTTTTGGGGCAGCGTGAGAACGTCCCTGCTACATGTCTGAACCACTGCGTAATAGATATGGAATCAGGGCCAGATCCGCCACCGTGCCTAGACCCCCATGAGGGCCCCAACAGAGGCAAACAGAAGTGACTAGCCGTAGGTTTTGTTAAGGATGTGTGGCGTCATCGCCTCTTCGGCTGTCCGACGCTTCAAGACGACCCAAGAGGCTCCCAAGATCATCCCAAGACGGCCCAAGAGGCCTCCACCCCAAGACGGCCCAACAGCGCCCCAAGACGGCCCGAGTGCCGCCCAAGACGACCCAAGGGGCTCAAGAGAGGAACACGAACCGAACATCCCAGCCTGCCGCCCCAAGAGGCCCCCAGAAGGCCCCAAGAGGCGCCCAAGGCCCCCCAAGAGGGCCAAAAGAAATCCCCAAGAGGGCCCAAGAGGCCCCCCAGGAGGCCCCAAGAGGCCCCAAAACGGCTCCAGAAAGCTTCAAAACTGCCTCCAAAGCCCCCCCGAGGCCCCCCTCGAGATCTCAAAGAACATCCAGTAGGCTTTATACCCACAACCAAGGCATGGTGGCGGGATGGGCCGAAGGCCATGAAAGAATCGCATACAAGCCTGGCGAAAAGGATGAGGAGGACGAGGAAAAAGAGGAGCAGGAGAAGGTTGGAGAGAGGACCTACTCCTCTCTCCAACGGAGAGGCGTAGGGAGGGAGAAAGGGAGGGGATGGAAGAGGAGAGAGGCGAAGGGGGAGGAGGAGAGGGGAGGAAAAGGAAAGATAGGGAAGACAAGGAGGATGACAAAAAAGGAGGAGCTAGGCGGCGGAAATGGGTATGAAACGGATGAGAAAGAGGACCCATCGCTCGCACGCACGGGCCACCACAGGCGGAGGGGGCACGCCGATCGTGCGGCGCAGGAGGCCACGCATAGCATCGCCACTTCGAAGGTTGCGATGCCCGCGAAGCTGATGAAGCAAAACATGTGGAGCCTGGGGCGGCAGGAATGCGGGCGAGCCTCGAGGATCGAGGTCCGAAGTGGAAAGCCCGCTCAGGGCCTCGAGGGGGCCTCTGGATGTCTCCCATGGCTCTGGGGACTTCTCGGTACCTCCGGGAAGGCGGGGAAATGAAGGAACGAAGGCAAGGAGGAGGGGAGCAAGGAAAGGACTGCTGGGAAGCACTCCTCCTCCTCCTCCCCCTCCTCCTCCTCCTCCTCCGCCTCCTCCTCCTCCTCCACCTCCTCCTACGGCGGGGAAGCCTTGCAGCCACCGACCCGCCGTGGCGCCACCCGTGGGATTGATGACAGAGTGCTGGACAGGCAGCGGGCTGACCTTTGCAGACGCACGGTTCCGCCGCCGGGGCCCCGGTCTGTGCCCTGGTCTGCGCCACGCCTTGCACGAGCGGGCCGAGCGGCCAGGACCCGGGAAGACACCAGGAGGGGGAGACGACATCCGGGATCCGAGCACATGCCATCGGCCAACAATCGCACGCCAGGAAGCCCGCCGTCGGCGAAGCCGCCTGCACAGAGCTAGCCGCGCGCCAAGCTAGCTGCATGCAGCTGGCTTGGCGCGGGACCAGCTACACGCAGCTAGTCGTGCGCCGAACGAGCTGCATGCAGCTAACCAGCTGCATCCTGCTAGTTTGGATCGAGGCCTACCTCGCCGCAGCAACGCAGAAAACTCAACATAAACATATATATATATATACACACTTGTGAGCGTTCACGGGCAGGAGCAAATATATGCCGGATGATGCCGGCCGACGCGCGCGTGCCGTTCAGATTGGCAACAAAAGGACCCCTAACCCTTTGGGAGGGGACTAGAATTAGGAGGGCAAAAAAACACTAGGGATGGATACTTTTCCCAACCAGCCAGTGGTGGTAGATCCTCACTTTGAAGAGACAGCGCCCCGCGTTCCTCCACGTCCTCCTCCTCCCCCTCCCTCCTCCCATCACCCCTCTCACTTTGGCACACTCCTCACACGCTTCGTGACCCCACAGGAGCTGAAACGAGGAGCCCCGTGGCGCACCCCGCACGCGTCCCCGCCACCCATTTCGGCACACCCCTGACACGCCTGGTGGCCCCAGGGGGAGCTCCACCGAGGGTCCCAGTGGCGGGCTGGGCCCGCGCCAGGACCAGATGGCCGTGGACAAGGAGCCCGCCTCGGCGGCGACGACCAGCCGACGCGACGGCGACTACGATCCCGACGACGACGCCGACGCCGCCGACGCCGGGGCCGCCGACAACGACGACGCGGCCCCAGCACCCATTTCGGCACACCCTCACACGCTTCGTGGCCCCATAGGACCTTAACCGAGCGTCCCCGTGGCGCAGTCCGTAAGCGTCCCCGCAACCAATTTTGGAAGCCCTCGCACACATGTCGTGGCCTCAAAGGAAACTCGACCGCAGGCCCCAATGGCGGTGCCCACACGCGTCCCCGCCACCCATTTCGGCACACCCCTCACACGCTTCGTGGCCCCATAGGAGCTCCACCGAAAGTCCCAGTGGCGCAGCCCACATGCGTCCCCGCCACTCATTTCCGTTTCGCGGCCCCGTAGGGAGCTCCGCCGAAGGTCCCACTTGCGCAGCCCGCATGCGTCCCCGCCACCCATTTTGACACACACACACACACCTCACACGCGTCGTGGCCCCATAGGAGCTGCACCGAAGGTCCCAGTGGCGCATGCGTTCCCGCCACCCATGTCGGCACACCCCTCACACGTTTCGTGGCCCCAGAGGGAGCTCCGCCGAGGGTCCCAAAGGCGCAGCCCGCATGCGTCCCCGCCACCCATCCCGGCACACCTCTCACACGTTTCGTGGCCCCATAGCGGCCGTGCCCAGGGGCGGCGAGGAGCGAACGGGCCAGGTAAAACAGACCTGTCACTTCGAGCCTCGGCGCGCGGCCGACTTTCGTCCCTCGCTCGTGGCCTTTCGCACCCTCGCGCATGGCTGTCCACCCCTCCCTCGCCGTCCCCTCGGCGGCGGGGCGACGGCGAGCCATGGAGCAGCAGGCGCAGGGCGGCCGCCAAGTGGGCGACGGAGCCAGGGCAGCGGTGGGGCAGGAGCGCCAGCAGAGGGCGCACGCGGGGGGCCCTGGAGGTGACGCCGCGGTCTGATGCAGGACAGACGAGCGGAGGGCCCTTCCTGTCGCAGCGGTGGCAGCAACCCGCGACGCTGCCGTCGTCCACGGCCGCGGAAAAGAGGCGAGCAAGACCGAGCGGGACCAATCCGATGTCGTCGCCCAATTCTTCAGAACTAAATCCTTAGGGTGTTTTGGGACTCCTGGGCGTTGGGGCCGGGCGCCCATGTCCGTTCCCTGGGAAGTCGAGCGCGGGGGCGTCAGGAGTGCCGTAAGCGTCGCGTAGAAACCTTCATAATTAGCTCGGTAATTTGATGTTTGGCCGGGCCTTGGCGTCTTGAGACTTGGAGCTGGCGGTGTCAACGTGTCTAGTGCGAGGCGGGGGGTTATCCATATCCACCGCCTGGGAACCGAAGTCCTGGTGCCCCAGCGGGCGGTGGATATGGATATATTTCGGCCCCCCAGGGCCCGAATATGTCCAGATCCACCGCATGCCGAGGCTTCGAAAACTGACCCTCCAGGCGGTGGTCATGTCTAAATTCCCGCCTCGGATCTAGCACATTGCTCGGGCTAGGCGCAACCTAGGTGCCAGTACATGAGCACGGCTGCGCGCACTGCGGTCAATGGGAGCCTGTCGAACGGCACCTCGTCACCGGGCTCTCGGGACTCACCTTTAGCTTCGAAAGCACTGAAGATGGCCCCCGTGCCCATTTTGATTGCCTCCCACGCGGGACCCGAGGGCACGGCGCGGGCGGGCGGTTTGGGGGCAGGCAGGGCGCCCGACGGCTCAGCAGACGCCAGAGAATCCAGACCGCTCCGACCCTGGCCACAACATGGCAGAGGTGATCTGGGAGCGGCGCCGCGGTCTTCTGAAACCAGGCCACGCTCTGCGGCGAAGATGGCACTGCTGGGGGAGACGCTCGCGATCCCTGCGAGGTGGGTAGACGCGGCTGCCTTGGATCGAACAGGGCGGGGAAGCGCAGCCGGCCCGAGGGTCGACGGCACCAGACGGTTGGCGGGTCCATGGGGGCCCTACAAACAAAGGGAGGAGGCCCTGTACGAGAGATGGGATGGCGTAGGTGCGCCTGGCGGCAATGGCGTGGAGCCCGCGGCCAGGTCCCGAACGTTGGCGTCTGCCTCGGAATTGAACCGCTGGGCTGGGGCAGAATCGAAAGAGAGCCGTCCGTGCGCTGCGTGGTGGGGCCGCGTCCCCTGGAACACAGTTGGAACGATCTCGGCAGCGCACGTCTTGAGCAGGTTGGACACGTCGTCTGGTCGTCACGGCTGAATCGCAAGAGTTCATCGCAGCATCGGGAGCATGCCCAGCTGAGGTTGCAGACCTTTTCCAACCAGACCCTCGCGAAATCTGCCCAACGGGGAAAGCCGTCGAGCAACGTGGTGTCAAACCCTGGTGCGCCGTAGACGACGGAAAGGATCCCGTTGGGTCGCCCGGGCCGTCCGCGGTCGGGAATAAAATATATTCGGGGCGCAACAAGGGAGAAAGTCGCAGCCGAAAAAGACTGGTCCACGCTCGAACCCGAACCTGTTTCCAAAAGTCGCGGTAAGGCATGTGGACTCCGTTGGGCAAATGCACGTTCTTCAGTGACTTCCATGCCCATGGACACCTGATGGCACCCGGTGGCTAGGCTCGCGCCCGCCACGGGTCACGGAGCGCCGCGGAACACAGTCAGCGCCCAGGTGAAAAAGCTTGGTCCACCCCCGCGGCGGGGGGGGGCAGGCTTGCGTGAGCGGCGCCAAAGACCTGGGGGTCGTCGTCGAAAAGGTCGTCGTTCTGCGTTGGATCTAGAGCGCTGTCGCCGCAAACCCACTCGGCGGAGAGAACTTTCCCCAATACATAATGTGCCTGGCAATGGCGAAGGCCCGGCTGAATAGTACCGATACCCAACGGCCAGGTGCACGGCCGTCCTTGGGGAGGGGGCCTCGTCGCATTGGAACGCCGGGTGGGCTGGGTGAAAGCCAGGATCGGCGATGTAGGGCGTGGGTGGTCGTAGTAGCCTTCCGTCGCGGTGGCGGGGCGTGCCGGCCCGGTCGGTGAAGATCCAAGGATGCGCGGCTGGATCGCAAAGGCCGACCGAGGAGAATGCTCCTGCAACGGAGATGAGCAATGAACAAAACAATATTGGGGGCCGGCTTAAGAAATAGGTTCGCCAGCCCCGCGGCCACCATAATAGCGGGATGTGGAGCTCGGCACACGGAGGGCGGACAATTCGGGTTGGCCCAGGGCCGTCTGCGGGACCAAGGAATGCCCAAGGCCTGAAAATTCGGATCGGCGGGGGTGGCTATTCGAACTGGTCGAAGGCACCCCTTGCCCCCTGGCGCGGGCGTTTTACAGTCCTGGGGGGGACGACGACCGACGGGCGACGACGACAACGAAGACGACAGCGGTCTGTGCATGGCATACGGGGGGGGCTGGGCTGCGTGGGCGTCCTGCAGTCCTGCGGCGACGACGACGACGACGACGACAACGACGACGACGAAGAAGACGACGACGACGACAACGACGACGACGACGACGACGACGACGGTCGTTTCTGGTTGGCATGCACGAGAGCAGGAGGGGGGGTGCTGTACAGGCGTCTTGTAGACACGGGGAACGAAGGCGACAGCCAACGACGGCGACGGCGAAGGCGACGGCGACGGTGACGACGACGACGGCGACGAACACGACGACGACGACGACGTCGAAGACGACGACGACGACGACGACGACGACGACGACGACGACGGCCCTTTGCGAATGGGGAGTCTTGCAGTCTTGGAGGACGACGACGACGATCGACAACGACGACGACGACGACGACGAAGACGACGACGACGACGACGACGACGACGACGACGACGACGACGACGGACGACGACGACGACGACGACGACGACGGCCCTGGGGGGAGGGGGCTGCAAGGGCGTCCTGCAGTCCGGGGGCGACGACGGACGACGACGGACGACGACGACGACGACGACGACGACGACGACGACGACGACGACGACGACGTCGGGATGTCGACGGCTAACGCGATGCCCAAAAAAAAATCTGGCGGGGGGGGGGGGCATTCACAAAACAGTGCCGCCCCCTCCCCCCCCCAGATTTTACTCTACTGCCCTACACAGCAGGAAGGCGACCCCCTGGGGAGGATACATTCATAATCGTTCACCTCCAATTTGCGATGCCTTGCGGTGATTTGCATCACCCACCAGGACGGTGCCGTCGACAGCTGCGACCAACCGACAATGGCCTCATCACTGGGCCGAGCGCGCGCTGCGGAAGCTCCTGCCCAAGACGTCCCAGGGTGGGATCAGTGGGGAGGAGGGGGGGAGGTGGGAGGAGGGTGGAGGACTGGGAGGGTGAGGATGAAGGAGTGGGGAGGATGCGGGGAGAATCAGCCCAGCCGCTGTGGGCGGACCAGTCCTACCATCTGCACACAGCAGCGTTCGTACCCCCCCCCCTCCCTTCCCCTACGGCCCTCCTGCCGCCCGACCAGAACCGTCGAGGCCCTGGGGGCCAAGATAGGAGGCCATAGGCGAACCCTACCCCACCCAACCCCTGAGAGATCGTGGGGTGGTGGGGTAGGGTTCGCATGTGGCCTCCTACAAGAGCAGCACTTCACAGTGGCACGGGCTCACCGGCGTGGGCGAAGCAGGGCGGGCAGGCCCCTCCGTGCCTGCACCATCCGATACTGCCCACAAAATCAAATACAGTAGGAGCTCGACCACAGGAAACCTTCCACAAGAAACTCAAACCTGAGACCCCAGGATGTCCATTGATTTTTGGTGGGAACGTCACGCTTCCCATAGCAAAACCATTGAAACCCAGGAAACCCACGGCACCCTGCGGGCGAGCAGGGTGTTTCATGGCATGGGTGTCCACTGTCAGAGCGCAGCCGGGAAACTGGAACTCACACACGGCGCCCAGTTACTGGTGGCGCTGGGCTCCGAGGGACCCTGCCCGAGTGCCAACGCAGCCACCCGAGCACTGACCTGCCGCTTCAGGGCCAAAAATGAGTCAGGTCAGTACTCGGGTCTCCCAGGCATCACCTGAAGGGAGTCGGCCAGCCCGAACGCTGACCAGACCCTTTCCCTTCTCCCGATTGGGGGCTCCGTGAGCTACAGCTCAGGCCTACTTGCACGTGGCGGCTGATGGACGCCGTCCCGCCTCTGATTCACGCTTTGCGGACTACTCGGCCGCGCCGGCGTGCACATGGGGATGTCTCGGCTGGCCGATGGCAGGAAGCCAGCCGCTCAGCCAGTTCCGTCATCCGATCTCCTGAAAATCAACCAGCATTGCTGCAAACTTGCAAGGCAGGGAACCAGAGGAGGGTCCAGGAAGCCAGGGTGAACACATCAGAGAGCGGGATCAGTGCAGACTCTGTGATTATTGGGCATCCGACCTCAGACTTACGTCTGCGTTCGCCCCCAGTGCTCGCTCGGCCACAGAGCTCTGTCGGGGGTCTTCTGACCCCGGTTAATCCAGACCCGGGTCAGTCAGGCTTTGCGGGATCCTGCAGGATCCTGCACCCAAACCGGGTCAGTGCACCCCTGGCACTGCAGAATCCTGCAAGATCATTCGCTCTGACTGAGCCCCATTTACATTGACCCCTGCCTCTTGAGCCCCGACGCTGTCGACCCCTTCAGGGGCCGGCTCCTCATCCCGACCAGTTGTTGGCTGTGATGGCCGGCAGTCGCATATGATCTCTAGCCCTTGAAACAGGGGCTGCGAGCGGGCAAGAGCGACGCGAACCTCCGTAGGTGCAGACCTTCGGCAGGTTCGTGTCGGCACGGCCCTGGCATTCGTCTAAAGATCGCTGGACCTTGAACGCTCGGCGGTCTTCTCGATCGCCAGATCGTTCAAGATTGGCAGATTCTGGGCCACTGCCAGCGTTCCACCTGGAGCGCCCGCGGCTGGGTCGCTGCCGCGTCGGCACGACACGAACCTAAGGTGGCCATAAGAACTGCTGAAAGGCGACTCGAACTGGTTGGGAGCGCTCCGAAGCTGCATGCATGCAGTTACGGAGCGCCGTCTTCTGCGGGAGTCCCAGACAAACCAATCCACTCGGAAAAAAAGTCTGCATTTCTGTCTGTCATTGCTTATGTTCGCAAACAATGCGATCGAGCACTTATGATGGATGTCAATGATGATGGTGATGATGATGATGATGATTATGATGATGATAGCGATGATGATGGTGATGATGATGATGATGGTGACGACGATGGTGCTGAACATGATGTCAAGGATGATGATGATGATGATGATGATGATGATGATGATGATGATGATGATGCTGGTGATGATGATGACCCCGATGATGATGATAATGGTGATGATGATGCTGAGTGTGGTGATGGTGTTGATGATGACGACGACGACGACGACGATGATGCTCGTGATGACGATGCTGATGGTGGTGCTGATGCTGATAATGATGTAAAGGGTAGTGATGATGCTGGTGATGATGATGACGACGATGCCGATGATGTTGATGTTGATTATGTTGATGGTGATAGTGCAGACGACGACGATGGACGACAACGACGACAATGATGATGAGGAGGAGGATCATGGTGGACATGATAAGGTGGTGATGATGATGGTGATAACGATGATGGTGGCATGATGATGGCGATGATAATGGTAATGATAATGATAATGATAATGATGATGATGATGATGATGATGAGGAGGAGGAGGAGAATGGCGATGTTAGTAAACATATCAGGATGGAGAAAGTTGTACATCACGGTGGTCGAGTCGGTGGCGGTGATTGCTTTGGTACGTAAACATGAAGAGGCGAAAGGGGGCGCACCAGGGGGGGAATCGTGATAGTGAGCACCACATCGAGGGTAATGATCAAAAACTCCCGAGGGAAGCAAGGGCGAGCCGTCCAGAACGCTAGGCGACGGGGGCGGGGCTGGGATTTCGTCACTGACCAGTGGTCCAGAAAAAGGCCTCCCAACGGGCCGAGGATGGCGAAGAACCTTCGGCGCGATCTCTGCCGACGGGCTGCAGATCGGGGGCGGCCAAGAGGGGGGCGTGCAAGAGGGGGGGGGGGGGGGCGCATATCGTGGCCGGCGGCATGTGCGCGGCCCAGGGGGGGGGCCAGGGATTGCATGAAACAAGAAGAGCCGCCATGAAATCTGGGGAGATCTCATGGCCCACGCCATGATATCCACCCCCCCCTAGTCATCACCCACCTCTTTGCCGCCCCCGAGCAGATCTGGGCTCGAGGGTGGCACGCCGAACCCCCCGGGCCTGTCCTGAGGTGCGCTCTGGCCAGAAGCTTGAGGCGCGTCCAGCCGTGGCGACCAGAAGCCTCCGGGAAGCCCCCCAAAAAGTGCGAGCGCTCGAACCTCGAGCCTCGAAGGACCGATCGATCCTCGAGGCTCGAGCATCGAGGATCGATCCTTCGAGGCTCGATCCTCGAGCCTCAAAGGAGCAGGCGGCTTCGAGTGGGAGGAATCTCTGAAAAAGAAAGGTCGATCATCATCAGAACGTGTCTCAGCGCCCCCAAGTGCTTGCCCACCGAAGCCCTTCAGTACGACGCATGCGGGGTATTGAGGGCCGACGCAGGCTGCGTGCTATATGTGGAGTTCAACGCTGCATTTGCACAAAAGTTGGGCTAGCGCACGTCCTGAGGACCATCGATAAGACCCCCGTCCGCAGCTCCCCAGGCGGCGCTGGGGCGGAACCCTGCCAGAAACGAGACCAGGCACAACGTCAACTGGCGTTCACCGATCGGCCAGCCCTTCCGCTCTGTGAACACGAACTGCCTCGCGGGAAGAATCGGAACCAGACATCCAGCGGCTCAACTAACCAAGACGACACGCATGCTGTCATTTCGTGCTTCCAGAAGCCCTCACGGGGCCCCAGGAGAGCTTTCAACAAAAAACAACTCAGGAGGCAAGACTGGCCACGGGAAGTAGTCGAGAGGTCCATGGGCCCATGTCTCGAGAAAGCCTGGACGCCGGATGTCGGGAATGGGACGCACAGGGACATACTACAAGAAGGCTCAAAAACCGAATCGAAACGGCCGAACCGAACCGGGCCGAACCGAACCGGCGCGAACCGCACGTTTTATCAACAGGAACCGAACCGAACCAAAACCGAACGAGACCCAATTTTGAACCGAACTGAACCGAACCGGAATCGATTTCGAACCGAACTGGGCCGAACAGGATGGAACCGCCATGAACCGGAGGTCTCGGGGCCCTGATTTTGCAAGTCTCGAGGCCATAGGCCCCCCAGGGAACCGATTCTGCAAGTCCCCCGAGGCCCCCGGGGCCCCGATATTGCAAGTCCCCGGAAGCCTCCCGGGGCCCCGATTCTGCAAGCCCCCGCAGGCCTCTGGGGACTTCCAAAGGGGCCTCCGGGGACTTGCAAAAAGGCTTCCGGGACTTGCAGAATCAGGCCCCCGGGGACTTGCAAAAAGGCTTCCGCGACTTGCAAAATGGCTTCCAGCACTTGCAAAATAGCTTCAAGGAGGTGCAAAATTGCAGCTGGGACTTGCAAAATGGCCTCCGGGACTTGCAAAATCGCGCCCAGGACCTACAAAATCGATTCCGGCCCTTGCAAAAACGCGTCCGGGACTTGCAAAATCGCCCCTGCAAAATGGCGTCGGGGACTTGCAAAGACGCCTCTGGGAACTGCTCCGTGGCGAACCCCCCTTCTCCGTGGCGAACCAAGCGGAACCCGAGCGAAACGCATGGCGAACCGGGCCGAACCGAACCGGCACCCCTCACAACGACGAACCGAACCGAACCGAACCGGAGAATTCCGACACCGAACCGAACCGAAACGAACCGGACGCACTTCGGAACCTGACCGAACCAAACCGAACCGAACAGGACCCTTCATGTACTAGTACTATATGTCCTCCTTGGAGGCGCGCGTCCGACCCGAACAGATAGTATACCCATCTTCTAGAATATCGTTTCCCGAGCGGTGTGGCAAGAAAGCGCCCGCCACGACGCATAGACTATAAGACTTCTCGGTGCACGCGTCGCCCCTGGCGGGGGCGACGCACACACACACAGTGTTAGCAGGTTGGGGCGACGCCGAGGGGAGGCTCTGGGACGGAGGAGGGGAAGACCGAAGACCGAGGCGTCGGGCCTGTCTCGGTCCTTTCTCTCGACGCTAGGACCTGTCTCGAGAAGGTCTGGACGCCGGGTGTCGGGGAGGATCTGGGACGGAGGAGGGGAGGACCGAAGACCAAAAGGCGTCGGGCCTGCCTCGGCCTTTCTCCCCTCGATGCGAGGAGACCTCCCAAGACGTCCGGAGGCCTCTGGGGGGGCCGGGGCGCACAGGCCAACCGCCCCCGCAGTTGGGCGTCACACGCGTCGCTGCCGCACCCGCAGTGCGTGGGGCGAACCGGTGGCTGCGTGAACCGCGGGCCGAAAGGAGGATGAGCGAGAATGGGCCGCGGGTGGAACTAGAGCTGGACCTAGGTCAGAAGAACATCCTTCAAGAACATAAGACCCTCCGTCGGCCAACGAAAAACAGAACATCCCAAGGATGCCCTCCCCGGGATGCACAAGGACATCCGACAAGCGCGAAGAGCACGAGGGTACCCTCCCCGAGCCGACCTCGATACTATACCTCGGCCAGACTGCACGAGCGAGCAGAACGAGCCGCAAAGGCACCCAGAGAAGATCGCACGCGAGGCGCATCCCGAGTGGCTCGCTGCTGGGGCAGAGGCGGGCTGAGGTATCGCCAGCGTCGGCAATCCCTGTCTGATAGTTTCCACTCCGAAGCCAGACCGACCGTTACATGAATATTGCACGCCTGCACACAACGTACACACCCTTGTTTTGATCTGCGGGGCGAGAGCGAACCTCTTCCACAACGTACACACACATACACAAACAAACCCACACACACACACACACACGCACGCACGCACGCACGCACGCACAAACAAACACACACACACACACACACACACACACGCACACACCATGCCTGCCGCAGACTACACCACCGTCGCTTCACAGTAGCTTCTGGTATAGATAGAGCAAGGAATCTGCATCTTGCACGAAATGCGCTGGCGCACCTGGCGCACTCTTCGTGCGACGCGCACGTGCCTCCCTTGGCGCACCTGGCACGCGTGGCGCACAGAGCGAGCGAGGCGCACCTGGCGTCTGGATGGGTTCTCCATGGCTGCCCATTGGATAGTGAACGTTTTCTTTTTCGGCGTTTCGACATTGGGCGGAAGGGGGGGGGCTCTGGCTTCGGACCTCTGCTTGGTGGGACTGTTTGCACCACTGCGTCCTATGGGTGAGGCTCCACATGCTTGAAACAGGCGTCAAAAACAGCCACGATCTCCTCCATGGGGGGGAGGATGTGCAAGGGCCCGCGCCGATCGGCAAAACAAGGAATGAGAAAACGATCACATGGCGACCGCTGCCTGAGCTGAGTCTCTGGTGCTACTTCAGCGGTGGGAGGGCGGGTGGGATTAAGCGACACAGCCTGCGGCCTCCTGTCCGCAGCTCGACATAGCATGTCCTCCTACAGGCGGATTTGTCAGAAGAGGAAAAACAACTAGTCAAACCATTAGTCAAAAATATTCAAACAGAACACGAAGAATCGTCCACAGACTACTTTTGCACTACTCCTGAATATTCCCCCTCGACTTCAAGCTCGACCCCTCTCCCTTCGGTGGCAACTCATGGGAGCCTCCCATACCATCTTGTCGGCTCTTGCGAATCGACGCTAGTCGACGCTAAATCGACGCCAATCGACGCAAAAACCGACGCTCATCGACGCTAACCGACGCTAAATCAGCGCTGTCCCATCGACTCCCAGATGCTAATCGACGCGAATCGACGCTAAAAACATCATTAAGAGGATATACCAGACTCCCATGACTTGCTGCCCAGGCTCCCTTAGGCAAGCGCGTTCCGCTACTCGCAGGGTCGCTACTCGCAAATGGCCTGGATCCGCCGTGGAGGATTTACGATATATTACATCGCGACGAACGTGGGTTTTTCGGACGTTTGCTAGTAGGCTTGTGAATGCCACGACAGTGGACACCCTAACAGTCCCATCATTGAATTTAAAATGTGTATAAGATGTCGGAACATGTCCTGAACATGTTTAAGGCATGCTTCTACATGTTTACAACGTGTTTGACACATGTTTCAGACATATGGAAATCATTTGGCGACATGCTTGTCCTCCACAGCAGTACGCACCTTGCGAGTAGTGGAACGCGCTCGGCGATCCCTGCCCCCATCCCAAGAGACTCCCAGCCTCGGGGAATGCCAGGCGGTGCCAGGGCCTTCGCCCTCGCCGCCCCGAGGCCCAGGGAGAGAGAGACCCCGAGAGGCGCGAGGGCGGTAGGCGCAGGATGAGGCGCTCTGCGGGCCGATCTGGGCACTCGGGAAGGCCCTAAGAGCTAAGAGTGGGGTTAGGAGGCAACTACTGGGAGGTTTCCGTCGGAAAGATTAAAGAGGATTAAGCCCCGTTTGGGAGCTATCACGCCAGAGTGGGCCTCGGATGAAGCGGGATTAAGCCGGACTAAGCGGGATTGAACCCGATTGAGCGGGATTAAAGGGGATTAAGCCGCATTAAGCCGGACTTCGGACCAGGGCACAAACAGAATGTGACCTCCCAGTAGTTGCATCCGAGTCGGGGATCGTTCGGCCACCACCCCGCCCTTGTCCCCAAGAGGTGCCCGCCCAGAAGGGGGTGGGACGGGACGCGCAGAGACATACTAGTGCTGTACGTCCTCCTTGGAGGCGCGCGTCCGACCCGAGGATATAGTATGCCCGCCTTGTAGCGTATCGTTTCCCAAGCGGTGTGGCAAGAAAGCGCCCGCCACGACGCATATACCATAAGATTTCTCGGTGCGCGCGTCGCCCCTGGGGGGGTGACGCACACATAGTATTAATATGTTGGGGCGACGCCGACTAAGAGTGACTGGATCTTTCGGCCACCACCCCGCCCTTGTCCCCAAGAGGTGCCCGCCCAAAAGGGATCGAGAAGCACCGGACCACCAGACCCTCTCGGACTGCCCTCGAGACCCTCCCGAGAGGCCCCCGCGACAGCCCCAGGCGCCCCCAAGACGTTGGGGAGGACGGGAGGGGGAGGGGGAGGGAAGAGGAGGGAAGAGGAGGGAAGAGAAGGGAGAGGAGGGAAGAGGAGGGAAGAGGAGGGCAAAGGATGGAAGAGGAGGGAAGAGGAGGAAGGGAAGACTGGAAAGGCAAGGAAGGAGGGAGGGAGGGAGGGACTGCTACGCCGTGCCATAATAAGAACGCACTAACAGCTATCGCAAACTGGGCCCCATACTCTCAGGAACTGGGCGCCCAGCTCGATTCGAAGATGAGGAGCAGTTGGGGGCCAGAATGCCATGGAGGTTGGGGGTATGGAGAAGATAACGAGGGAGCGAGAATGAAGAAGGGTGATAGGCTTGAAACTGATACTTCCTAGCCTTAACAGATGGACCTCGATGTGGACGACTCCGAGGGGAGGGGGAGGGGCACGAAGCAACTCCTGGGAGGTTGTGGTGGGAATGATTGGAGTCTACTGAAACCGATTAGGAGGTTGTTGGGCCGAATGACGTAAGACTAAGCCGAAGGATTGAGCGAAATCAGGCGGGGTCAAGCGGGATACTGAGAGATTAAAGGATCAGGCTGAAGTTAGACCCAAGGTATACCAGGGCCGATGCTGAGTTTGACCTCTTAAGCGCTCCTACCAAAAAGAAGGATGGAGGGAGGAGATTGAGGACGTGGAGGACGCGTAGGAGGAGAACTCGGGGCCACAAAACAGCGTGGTGACGGACCGCGTGGTGACCTCGAAATCCCCAACGACTTCACCGCGCGGTCGGTCACCGCACAGTTTTTGGACCTCGGAGGCCCCAGTCGCTCGAGACATCCTCGGAGAACGACTCGAATCCTAAGCCCGCGCGCTGACCCCGAATCCCCACTGACTCGCTACCCGGTTGGGGGGGGGCCCTAGACAGGAGGGAGGGACCATTGTTTGTTTCTCCGACGTCTGGAACAAAGAAGATGCATCAATCCCCGCGAAAGGAAACACATGTTGCCCGTCGCATAGGGCGTGCTGCTCTAGGGGGGCCGCGCACGGCGGTGGCGCCAAAGGGTGCCAGGAGAAGAAGGAAAAGGAGGAGGAAGAGGAGGAAGCAGAGGAAGAGGGATGAGGGATGATGATGAGGAGGAGGAGGAGCAAGCACAATGAGAAAGGCGGAGGGCGGAGGAAAAGGGGGGAGGAGGACGACGGCGACAAGGACGAGGAGGAGGACGGAGGGCGGAGGGCGGAGGAGGGAGGAGGAGAACGACGACGACGACGAGGGCGGAGAAGAGCGGAGAAGGAAGAGAAGGGAGGAGGGAGGAGGGCCAAGGAGGGCGGCGGTGGGAGAAGGTGGGCCACGCAGCTCCTGCCAGAGCTGTAGCAGCACTCATAGCGGGACATGGCCGGCGCCCGCCGGGCGGCAAGGCGCCGGCGGCCGCCTCCTGCCGCCGCGCCGGCCCGGCTCCCGAGTCCTACGCCGCCTCCTCCCTGCCGCCTCCCGCCTCAGCGTCCTCCCTGCTGCCAGCCGCCTCCTCTCGCCCCCTCCCTGCCCCTCCCTGCCTCGACTCCCTGCCGCCCCCGCCCCCTGCCTGCCCCTCCTCCCGCCCATCCCTGCCCCTCCCTCCCTGCCTCACCTCCTTCCCTGCCGCCCCCCGCCCTCCGCCATCTTCTTTCCCCTTCGGGAGCAAACTCCTGGGAGGCCTCCGTGGGAACAATGACAAGCTGCTGAGCCCGATTAGGGGGCCAGTAAGCCGGATAAGCCAAACTAAGCCCGGGACCAAGCCAGATGAAGAAAGGACTAAGCGGGATTAGGCCAATTCAGCTAAATGACAATGGCGTTCGACCACGGGTACACCAGAACCGATGTTAAACTTAACCCCCCAGGAGTTGCACCCGAACTGTTATAAGTAACTCCTCCCTGTCGCACCCTCAGACCTATCGGCAGGAAGGACTGGTCGTTTGGCATGGAGCTTCCTCACTCCTCGTGACTCTGAGGCTTGGAAATCCGAATGCAAGGATGGAGCAGAGATCGTCTTTGAAACGGGGCTCTCGCCGTAGCGCCGCGCCCATGCGTCTCAGAAGCTTGCAACGGCTACAAGGCAAGATGGGGGTTGTCTTTAACATTGCTGCCTCGCCTTAGCGCCGCGCACAGTCGCTCTGAAAATTGGAAACAATTGCAGGGATTGAGGACGATTCCGTTTCGAAGATTAGCCAGCGTGGATCCCGGATAGATCGTTATGTCTCTGTCGCGGTAGAAGCCGAGCAGTGTAAGATGCTGTGAGTGAGCTATGGTGTCTAAAACTTACTGTGTGAGCTATGCGGTGTGAGCTGTGCTGTGCATGCGACGTGGTGTAAGATATTGTGTGTAACACATGCCGTGTGAGCATCATGATGGGAGCCATGTTAAGTAAAACATGTGGTGTGAACTATGTGGTGTAAGCTGAGCCGTGTAAGCTACGTTGTATGAGGTATGTGGTGAGAGCTGTGCTGTGTGAGCTGTTCGTTGAGAGCTATGCGGTGTAAGCCAAGTTGTGCAGACCATGGTGTGAAAGCTGTGGTGTGAGCTGCGTGCTGCGAGCTGTGCTGCGTGAGCTGTGTGGTGCAAGCTATGATGTGCAGGCTATGTGGTGTAAGGGCACGGAACGGCCACCGGGCGCCCACGAGAAGGCACGAGCGGGCACGGGCGCCAACGCTGCAAATCCTGAGCGGACCCACCCAGGACACGGCGGGGGGGCCACGAGGCACCCACGAAGGGGCACGGGCGCCAACGAGGCGCAAACCTCGGCGGACCCACCCAGCGCGCGGGGCGTCCACGGGGCACCCACAGACAGGCACGCGCGCCCCAGCTGATCCGTTCAAGTCCTTCGGGGACCGAGGTAAGAACCCCAAAGCGCAAGCAGTGGTTGGAAACATGGGGCCCTCCATCGAGACTTCCTCAAACTGAACGTCCAGAAAGTTCAGCATGAGAGCAGCTGCACAGATGGTGGGCAAATAATTGTTCACCATGGTCCATGGTGGTGTCGCTTCAGGCCTCCGTGAAGTTCATGACCAACCTGCGACATGTTGCAACAAATATATTGATGATGACGGCCTTTTTTCAAAACTGGAATCTCGCTGGACGGATCGCTGAACTGTTTTACCGTGCCTCTTCGCATGTCTGACTGCGCGTTGTAAGGATGCAGGGAAGATCCTGTTCCATTCGGTGTCCTCGCTGTCGCTCCGCCCACGCACACCCGCTGATGCTCCAGCACCACGTGCATGTCCGCCCCATCCTCAGCCAGTGTCACCTCATCCGCCTCATCACCTCCCCCCAATCCTACAGCACAGCAACCCCATGCTACACGACGTCCTCCTGCTTAACCTCCTTCACCGCCTTCTCGTCCTCGCCCTCCTCCTCCTCCTCCTCCTCCTCCAAGTCCTCCTCCTCGTCATCCACGTCGTGTCCTTTCCCCTCCTCCTCCACACCTACTCATTACCCCCCACGTGCACAAAATCCTCGTTTGGTTTCGCCGGTCCGTCGGGCATAAATGGTCGAACGATGTATGCCGTTCCTCGTCCAAAACCGTCTTTCCGTTAAGGAGGGGTATCGACCCCGCCCTTCGCTACGATTGTTTGGGGGGTTCGAGGGATTGGAGCGTCCAATATGGCCCGAGATAGCTCCAAGAGGGCGCCCGATGCTACAAGCTACTCCAAGATAGCATCCGAGATGGTGAACAATAAACGAAGATGGCCCAAGACGGCTCCCGGCATAATTACCTCCAAGAGGCCCGCGACGAGGGCCACAAAACAGGAGGGGGCAGAAGAACCCCAAGATGGCTCCACGAGGTCCCAAGATCGCCCCGCGAGCGCCCCCTAGAGGCAATTTGAATGGCCACAGCGGGGGGGGGCAGATGGAGGCCCTCCCCCCCCCGCCCCCTCCCCCCCCCATCGTTTGATCGACGCCCTAAATGACGGAGAGCCCCAAGAGGGCCCCAAGATGGACCCAAGACACGCTGAAAGAGCCCCATGGGGACCTCAGGACCGTCCAACCGAGCCCCAAGAGGGACCCAAGAGGACCCACAGCAAACTCCAAAAGGACCCCACGAGTACTCCAAAAAGACCCAAAGATGGCTCAACGAGTTCTTGGCCTCGTGGTCCTCCGCCTCCTCAACCTCGTCCTCCTCCTCCTCGTCATGATCACTGTCCTCCTCCTGCTCCTCCTCGTCCTGCTCCTCCTCCTCCTCATGCTCCTCCTCGTCCTCCTCCTCGTCCTCCTCCTCCTCCTCGGCGTCGTCCTCATCCTCGTCCTCGTTCGCCTCAACATCGTTATCGTTCTCGTCTTAGTCGTCATCTTCCTCGACGTCGTCGTCGTCTTCCTCCTCATCCGTGTCCTCGGCCCCGCTCATTCGGTTCATGTGTCGTCCTGATACTCGCTGCCCCAAAGAGGGTCTCGTGGGAGCCCCAAGCGGACCCCAAGAGGGTACCAAGAAGCCCCAACTATGGCTTCAATAACCCTCCTCCTCCTCATCATCCTCCTCCTCGTCCTCCTCCTCGTCGAAATCGTACGCGTGGTCCTCGTCCTCGTCATCGACCTCATGCACGTCCTCGTCCTCGCCCTCCCCTGCTCCTCCTCCTCCTCGTCCTCCTCCTCCTCCTCCTCCTCCTTTTCCTCTCCTTGTCCGCTTGTCGTCGTCTGTATCATCCACCTCCTCCTGCTCCTCCTCCGCCGCCGCCTCCGAATCCTCAGTCAACCATGGTTGCCCTCGCTGGTTCACTATACATGTCTCCTCCTAGCGTTTCCCGTCGGGCCGCGGGCTCTCATGGGCAGCGGTTCTGAATGAGCTTGTGGGGATGCACGACGCTTGAAGAATGTTGATATGCTACTCGACCTTCACGCCTTCCTGCGTGCCCCATCTCCCCGACCCCACCCACCCCACCACCCGACCACCCACGCACCCACCCACCCACCCACCCACCGACCCACCCACCCACCCACCCACCCACCACACCCCCTCCTCACCGATAGCATCATCGGTATCATCATCGTCGTCATCATCATCATCATCATCATCATCATCATCATCAGCATCATCATCATCATCATCATCAGCATCATCATCATCATCATCACCACCACCACCATCATCATCATCATCATCATCATCATCACCATCATCATCATCATCATCATCATCATCATCATCATCATCATCATCATCATCATCATCATCATCATCATCATCATCATCATCATCATCTTCACCATCATCAGCAGCATCGTCATCATCAGCAGCATCGGCTTCAGCATCCACATCAGCGTCACCATCATCATCATCATCATCATCATCATCATAATCATTATCATCATCATCAGCATCATCAACCTCCTCATCATCAGCACCCGCGTCATCATTATCAGCAGCAGCATGATCAGTATTATCATCATCAGCAACAGCATGATCAGCATCACCATCATCAGCAACATCATCCCCATCATCATCAGCATCAAAATCAGCACCATCATCATCATCATCATCATCATCATCAACAACAGCATCAGCATCCGCATCACTATCATCAGCAGCATACGCATCAACCTCATCATCAGCGACATCAGCATCCGTCAGCAGCATCAGCATTAACATCATCGTCAGCAGCCTCGTCACCAGACAAAATGGAATCATCACAACAGCAGCAGCCTCGTCGTCAGCAGCAGCATCATCAACCTCAGCATCATCAGCAGCCTCAGCATGATCATCAGCATCAGCATTAGCAGCATCATCGTCGTCGCAATCAGCATCGTCACCATCAGCAGCATCATCATCAGCAGCATAATCATCAGCATCAGCATCGGCATCGTCATCAGCAGCAGCATTATCATCATCATCATCATCATCATCATCATCATCATCATCAGCACCATCGGCATCAGCATCATCAGCAGCAGCAACCGCATCACCATCATCAATATCAACATCGTCATCGTCATCATCATCAGCAGCATCAGCATCGTCAGCATCATAAGCGTCAGCATCATCATCATCATCATCATCATCATCATCATCATCATCATCACCATCACATCATCCTCATCGGCGTCATCAGCATCATCATCAACAAGAGCATCAGCATCACCACCATCGTCGGCGTTGTCGTCGTTGGCGTCATCATCAACATCATCATCGGCATCAGCAGCAGCAACAGCACCATCGTGTTCATCATCATCAGCATCATCAGCATCATCACCATCATCATCGGCATCATCATCAGCAGCATCATCGTCAGCAGCATAAGCATCATCATCGTCAGCATCATCATCAGCACCATCATCATCAACCTCATCATCATCACCATCACCATCACCATCATCATCATCAGCATCAGCATCACCATCACCATCATCACCAGCATCATCATCATCAACATCATCATCTTCGTCACAAGTGTCATCATCAACATAATCACATCGCCATCGTCATTCAATAAGAGCTAGATCCGTGAGCACAGTCATCATTATCATCACCCTGCACATCCTCCGCCGCATCACCCATATTATCATCCTCATGGGCCGCCTGTTGTCTCTACTGCTGCCGTTGCTGATGGCTTTGCCACTACTGCTGGTGGTGCGAATGCAAACGCGACTGTCAACGCCGCTAATATCGTGGTGGACAGTTATCACTGCTGCAAAGAAACCAGGAACGTACACGAACTACCTGAAAGAATCGGTAACAGCAGCAGGCCTCCCCAAGACAAAACATGATGTGTCAATGGGTACGATCCTGTGGAAGCTACACAAGATAACTGTCCGTGGAGAGCTCCATGGGACCGACACGGAGGGGAAAAGAATCGACGACGAAGAAGAGGAATGAGCCCAGAACTCGGAAAAAAATTGGCGAAGGCACGAGTTGCGAAAGGTGGGAGCGCAGAAGGAGCGCGGGAGACGGGATTCGATGGGCCAGGAGGGGGACGGGACGCGATGCGACGATGAGCGCCTGCTTCGACACATCACTCACGCAGGAGGGCTACTGACCTCATTATCACTCCCACAGCCCAAACGGCACGCGCCGCCCCGTCTGGACGTTGATGATGCGCTGGGGAGCTGCCAAGATTGAGCGAAAGTGGCGACAGGTCCGCAGCTGCGCCCAAGGAGGCGAGGGCAATATGGCCGGGCTGCTGAGAGAAAAAAGGAACGAAGCCCCTTTGTGGTTCCAGCAGCGCCTGGGTGCACGAGGAGGGCTAGAGGAGCTACCATGGAAGGACCCAAGGAACAACGAGCCACTTCCGAACCCGAGATGTTCCTCGTGTCAGCACCTTGGCTGTTCTCTGATCCGCGTGACACGTCAGAAACCCTCACAAGTGTGTGGGCGGTGGCGCCACTGGCAGGGCACGGGGAGGCGAAGGCAAGACCCTGATCCGCGGCAGGCGCGACCCCGCTGGACCTCCCTGGAGCCCACGAACGTGGCGGCGGCTGCGCGGCTGGCCGCGCCCAGCAGGCGAGTGGCACCGGACGGCCCCTGCTGGCTGGGGGCGAGAAGGCGTGTGAGAGGATTGGACACGGTAGGTTCGCGTCGTGTCGACCCCCGCGTTGTTCCCGACACCGCGGAGATCGTTCAACCTTGAACGATCAGCCGCTTCCGAAACGTCAGATCGTTCAGCATCGACCGCCAGCGGCGTTCAAGGTTGAGCGCCGACGGCGGATTCGCCGCTGGTCGACACGACGCGAACCTGCCGTATCACCCCTCCCCCTTTCCCCCTCCCCTGGGGCCCAAGAACCCCGTTAGGGGAAGGGGAGGGGTGGGTCCGGGGGCTCGAGCTCCCCAATGCGCCTCCAGGGCCCTAGGAGCTCTAAGAACTCCCCTCCGTAACTGCCAAGATGCCCAAGATGCATTCTCTGAGATGGCCTCCCAAGGGCTCCAACGCGCCTGAGAGGCCTCAAGAGTTAGACTGAGGACGGCCCAAGACACTAAAGAGGGCCGAAAGAGGAATCCCAAGTGGGCCTCAAGAAGAAACACCATTGAGTCCATTGACTGCTGTTGGCAGTTCGATTATGTTCGCGTTCTCGCCTTTTCGGCCGTCTGCAAGCCCGAAACGGCGCGAGGGGCCCTCCAGACTGGCCAAAGACTGCCCAAGAAGCCCCCAACAGGGCCTGGAGACTGCCCAGGAGGGCCCCAAGGCCCCAAAAGGCCCCCAAACATTCAAGAGGCCCCAACACGGACCCAAGAAATGCCAAAAAAACGAGCCCGCAGGGACCCTGGGAGCCCTCCCCCACAAGACGGCCCCACAGACCCCCAACATGACCGCAGGAGCCCCAAGCAGCCCCCGAAAATCCCCGCAACAGACGCGGAAGAAAAGGACGAACCCCATTTACACGCGGGCAGCACGACGGGAAGTGAGAAACGACACTTGTGTCCGTCGCAGTGCGGCAGAGGCGATCCGCTCGCGCCATCTAGGCAGCCAGGGTCGCGCGGCGTACGAATCAACCGGCAGCAAGAGGAGGGGAAGCAGGAACAGGGCGGCCGCAGAAACCAGGCAGGGAAAGGGGGCACTCACCGCAGAAAGAGTCCCTCGGCGGCGAGCCCCACGGGGGAAGTGAGGAGGGGCGGACCATCTCATAAGGCTCGGAAGGCCTATAGGGCCTTCTGGGAAGTCTCCTCGGCCTTCCCCGAAGAAGCAAAAGACCTCTCCTGAGGCACGAGGCCTTCTCCGAAGCCCCACCGCCTTCTGAGAAGGCCTTCTCCTTCTCACTCCCCCCCTCGCTCGCCGCCGGGTTCAATGTAAATCTGAACTCGGCGACGAGAAGCCCGATCGCGAAGCCAAGCCCCGACGCCGCGCGGCGAGCCGGGGCGTCAGAGGCAAACCAGCCGCCCGCCCGCCCCCTGGCCCGAACCCACCGCCAGACTCGAGCTCAACGGGAACATGCGGCCGAAAAGTTGCCCAGCCACCGAGGCAGAAATTGTTGAAAGGAGCCACATGTGGGGGTACGGGTTCAATGCTGGCCAACGAGCTTTCGGGTCATGACGCGGGCCTCCGGCGGCCGATCTGGGAAGATCCGGGCACCCCCGGCACGCCCTCGGCGAGGTGCAGCTGCTGGCAAGCATCCCGAGGCTAGAAGAATCCGCCCGTAGGAGGACACGCCCGAGCTCAGGCTGGGCATTCTGTCGCAGAAGCGCACGGCTCCAGTTCGCCAGAACTCGAACTCGCCGATGCTTTTTGATGGGCCCGTCCCGGATTTCGAGGGTCCAGATTTCGTGGGATGTTCCTGGTCGCCCCAGCACAGGCTGGCCGCGCCTGCCACTCCTGCCAGAAACTCGGCGGCGAGCGAGGGGGGAAGTGATAAGGAGGAGGCATTATCAGAAGGCGGCGGGGCTTCTCAGAAGGCCCCTGGCCTTATGAGAAGTTTGTTCTACGTCTTCGGGGGAGCTTTCTGGAAGGGCCTTCCCCTTCTCACTTCCCCACCTCGCTCGCCGCCGACCATCACGAAAACGGCGCTTGTGGACCGCACCATGTTTGGACTCCCTTCATGGCCTCGCTCCATCGCGGTACGATGCATGATTCTTCGGCTCCCGCGCCGAAAAACCATGCACCGTACCATTCCTGGGTCGAAGATCGACGACGCCTCGGGAGACGCTGACGCGGTGCGGTGCATACAGGTCGTCCGCTGACCCCTGCCTCCCTCCCCTGGGGGAGCTAAAAAACATCGATACAGCTGTTCCCCCGACCTCCCGGAGCACATCCTGACCAGGACTTCGAGGCGAGTCCGGAGACGGCGACGAGGGCCTCCCAGGAGGCCGAAAGAGGCGAGTAGCCGAATGGGTACCTTTCCTTCCTCTGATCCCACAACACACCACCCTCCCTCTCGACCCGCTCCCCCTGAACCCATGCCCTAGAAGAAGAAAACACGCCATAAACATAAACTTCTGGCGCTCCGCGATGATCCAAGAAATCCGCGCGGAGCGCCAAAAGTTTGCGTTGCTGGCGTTTTTCCTGTTTCGATTCCCAGAAGCTGCAGGCGGAGGCAAGCCACGCCAAACACCCTCCCTCCCTCCCTCCCTCCCTCCCTCCCTCCCTCCGCTTGCCGGTCCTGCGCGTCAGGCGCGGGGGGAACTCATCGATGGCTCTACCCTCGGGGCGCCCTGAAATGCGAGGACGGCGGAGCGCGATGACCCAATATGGTATGTCGTCTCTCTTCTTTCTCGGCGGCGGGCGCGGGGGGGAAATGAGAAGGGGCGGGACTTCCGAGGCTTCTGAGAAGTTTCCGGACTTCTGAGAGGGCTTCTGAGAAGTTCAGTCTGTATTCGAAATAAGCTAAGGAGACCTCTCAGAAGTCCCCCGGACTTCTAAGAAGTCCCGCGGCCTTCTGATAAGGCCTGCTCCTTCTCATTTCCCCCCTGGGCCCGCCGCCGACTTTCGTTCGGCGGGCACTCCTTGACACAGTCCCTTCGCCCTCCCCCTCCTCCAGTTCCAGGCCGCTCGCCTCGCCTGCATGTGGAGCACTGTCTCCCGAAAACGCTGCCGAAAGACTTACCGTGCCCATGCGGCGTCGGCTTCCTCTGCTTCCCACGCAACTTCGGACGACCATGGTGAGACGACATGTAGTTTTTTAGAGCTCGAGTGCAGAAGGATGGAACGGCAATATGCCCAACAATCTGGGCAAATAGACTGCTGACACTGTACAAGTACGTTCCGGTTCGGTTCGAGATGTGGAACCAGTAATACCCACGATACACTCTACGATATTGATTACACATGCTGCGCAGAGCGTCAAAAATTTCACCAGAGGCCCCTGATATCGCTCTACCAGGGCCCAGGAGCCCCCAAGAGGGCCCCAAGACGTGCCCAGGGGGGGGGACACGAACTGACATTCGAGCCCTCCCCCCCAAAGCAAAGATGGCCCTGAGATTCCCCCATAGGCTCCAGAAGCGCCCCCCCCAAGAGACCCGACGAGGCCGCCGGAAGACGCCCAAAGAACCCTCCAAGAACCCTCAAAGCTGCCTCCAAGAGGTCCCCGCGAGGCCCTCCCCCCCCGAGATGCCAACGGACGTCCCATAGGCTGTACACCCACAACCCAGGCACGGTGGCGAGATGGGCCGGAAGGCCATTGGATCCGCCGCCCCCTGCTTGCAGGGGTGCACGGCGTGCTGGACGAGCTGTTAGGTTTTGGTTTTGGTTCTTTTTCCAAAAGAACTCCCCAGTGGGCTCCGGCAGAACCCGCCACCGTGCGCAAAAACGGCCGTTTCGCTCGGGACATCCTCAAAAAATCGCGAAGATGGCCCAAGATGGCCTCCAAGTCCGCCCGAGATGGTCCAAGACGGCCTCCAAAACGGCCCAAGAGAGTCCAAGACGGCCCAAGACGGCCCAAGAGGCCCCCCAGAGGCCTCCCAGACGGCCCAAGAGGCCTCCAAGAGGTCCTCCAGGAGAGTCCGAAGAGGGCAAAATCATTGATTTATGCTTGTTTCCCTCTCACCCGTGAGGCTTTGTGCGTGTGTCGCCGCGCCAGTGCGCGCGCGCGGCCGCCGGCCGCGTTCAGTGCAGCTGTGAGGTCACTGCGGGAGAGAAGCCCCGGGCTTCCACCGCACCCCTGTGGGCAGCGGCCACCCGCGGAGCGCAGAAGGCCCTTAAGAGAACCTCCCACGCACATGGCTGATGCGAGAGAGCGGGTAGGCCCGCCACCCCATACTCTAGGGAGCAGGGGCCACTCGCCGGGATCGGGAGCGCAGGTATGCCTGCAGTTGTTGCTGTACGCTGGGTGGTCCCAGACATCCCGATCACTGCTTCCAAGGCTAAGCCTTAAGAGGCACCGCCTGGGGAAGCACGCGAGAGAGCGGGTAGGCCCGCCACCCCCTACTCCAAGGAGTGAGGGCCACTCGCATGAGCGCCAAAGCAGGAAAGCCTGCTGCCATGGTCTCGCAGCACGGTGGCCTCCGAGCCTCCGAAAATCCCCCTCCCACCAAAGCCTTACGAGGCTCTTAGAAGAGGTGGAGACGGGGCGGAGGAGGGAGCCGCAAACAGCTATGGAGAACGAGATATTTCGTGACAATTTCGTTGCAATCTCTCTGCTGTCTGGCTGTGCCGCCTCCCTGCTCAAGGGAAAAAGCATAACGCCCGGATCATGATCCGTGTACATATGCTTGTTTCCCTCTCACCCGTGAGGCTTTGTGCGTGTGTCGCCGCGCCAGTGCGCGCGCGCGGCCGCCGGCCGCGTTCAGTGCAGCTGTGAGGTCACTGCGGGAGAGAAGCCCCGGGCTTCCACCGCACCCCTGTGGGCAACGGCCACCCGCGGAGCGCAGAAGGCCCTTAAGAGAACCTCCCACGCACATGACCACCTCCCCCTTCTTCAAGGGAATAGGAAGAAGAAATAACAACTGCCACCAGCTTCTCTGAGACGATCCCGCGTCAAGGAGCACGCGACACTACGGCACAGCCAGGCCCCCCGTCACCTCGACCAGGGTGGGCAAGTAGGGAGGGCAGGCAATGGACGGCGCGGCGCAGCCGTTCTTGTCCTTGCTCTGGCACAGACCAAGAGCCAACGTCAACCATCGCTTGGTCAATGTAGCCTCGCGCGGGCTTCAAGGAACCCCACCTTCCCAAACTTTGGGTGGCGTCATAACTCCCAAACGCGGTAAAGTGCCAGGTCGCGCCCCCGCGCCTTAGACAGTACGGGGTCAACCTCTGGCTCTCCAGACCGAAGAACCGAGCCAAACATGTGATGTGCTGTTGGAGGGCCGCGAAGTTGCCAGGGAAAAGGGTCTCGTCATCGCCAAGCGGAGTCAGGACACGAAGTAGGAGTTTAATTACCAAAGGGTCGTACAATGTAACGTGCTCGACTTGGCCGTGCCGATTTGCCCCCTTACTGTCAGGGAGTGCGATGACTACCGCAGCCCCTCCACCGATGACGGTAAATTGACGTTTCGTAACAGCGACAATCTCTCCAGATCGGAGAAGGCCGGTGAAACCGACCAGCAGAGCGGTCGCTGTGCGAGGCCAGTGCCAGAGGAGAGCGACTGTGGCCATGCCTTGGACCATATCACTGGAGATCGGCAGCGCTCGCCGGCGCCGCGATGAACGAGCCCAATTTGTCATGTAAAGCGTGGCGGTTTCCAGCTTTCGCTTTGAGCGGGGAAAGAGGCGCTTGAAACCGCACACCAAGTCGTTACCCCAATACTGCGGCAAATCGTCTTGGTAAAGGTGGTCGATATACTCTCCTACAACATTGTCCAACTCCTCGAAAGTTTCGGGGATGCGAATTCCGTTGCAAGCAAGATGAGAAAAGAAACGATGAATGGCGCGGCGATAGCGAACGATTGTTACCGGCTGAATGTTGACGTACTTTATGTGTGCTTTACGTGGACCTGGGACCCAGCGCCTTTCAACCGGCATCGTCGGCAACCGGAGCCCCCTCCAGCAGCCTACTGGCTGCATCGGTCGAGTTCCAGCCGCTGATGGTCCACAAGCACAGCACGTACAAATCAGCCGCGAACGCTACTGCCGCATACCGCCGCAGGGGTCGATTGAGCACCCTCGCGCTCGAACGCCCCTTGGCCGCAACACAAGATGCAACCCGGGAGTCAAAAATATGGAAGAACCGCTCTCCATGCCGGTCCGGGCTGGAGACGCGTGCCCGGACGTAAGTCAGAAATGCAATAAATTCTAAGACGTTGATGTGCTGCGTCTGCCGCCAAGCATAACGCTGCACCACGTGCCAATCCCAAACAGGAGCGGGGTATGGCAGCAGTTGCCGGGACCCGTCCAGGAGGGTGCTGGAAAGAAGTCTTACATCTGAGCCCCTGTAATCAGTGACTCCAAGAAGACTCCTGAGATGTGCCAGCTCCTGACCTTGGGCCAGCGCGCCCATCATACGATCTAGGGTTGACACGGCTTCGGCCTGCACCATGCTTTCTTGGAGGCGGTTGGTGCTGGCGGCCAGGCTGCGGGCTACCCAGTCAGCCCGCTCCCCTGGCTGAGCCGGAAGGGAACCCATGCGAAGCTCGCGAAGTGCACTTTCGACCAACTTCGCGCACGCGTCGCAGAACTCGAACGGGTAGAACGCCTCCTCTTCGATGTAGCAGGCTGGGAGGTCGCTCGCCCCGCGCAGCACCCGAGCGTGCAAGCCGCAGCGGCTGCCGTCGAAAGCACGGTGAAGAGCCTCGCAATTGTGTAACATACCCAAGCCAAAACGGCATGAGCCACCGAAGCAGCACGGCCAAACTGTCGTGAAAAAACACACCCTCCAAGCGAAACAAGACGCCCGCGAGAGGGAGTTCCCACCCAGAACCTCCGAGCGGATGCATTACAACGGCCACCCCCCAATGGAGGAGACGATGCTGCAAGCGCTCGAGGGCTCGCGCGAACGCTGCGTTACGACGCCGCGTCCTGCGCTGGTGGTGGCCCGGCTGCCATGCCCCCTTCCGTTCATTGCCGCGCACGTGCCAACCAGGGAAGGCCCAATGCTCGAATGCGACGTCGTCGCAATCGAACTCTGGCTCTCGGGCGAGCGCGGCATCGTAGCAGCAGGCAAAGGCTGGGCCCCCGACTGGAGGCTGGGCGACGGGCACCCCGCGAACCGCGCAAGCCCACGAGAGCGGCGCCTCAGGGCCAGCAAACCCTTCGCCAAACTGCGAGGGGCGGATCCCCTTCCCGAAACACGGCCCACCGCGATGAGCGGCCAAGCATTGCAGGGAACAGAAATCCCCAGGGCACCCCAGCGGGCACGCGGCCCAACGTCGGAAGGCCGGCTCGCGTCCGCCACAAACCGAGCAGGCGTAAACCTTGGGGCGCGGCTGCAGGAACGGCTCCTCCGCTAGGCCCGCGGACCAGGCCTCAGCGAGCTCGGGGCGGCCCGGCCCAAGCATGTCGACGAAGCGCGTCGCCTCGGCAGCCCCGCCCCCGCTCTCCGACGCGTCAGAAGTGCTCGCGACGCCTGAAATGCGCGCGCGGAGGTTCACGAAGGCAAGAGGCAACAGAGCTCCACCGACTAAGACTTCGTCCAGGACGCTGTCCGGGGGAACCTGCGCTCCCCCCGCGAGGGCGCAGTTCTGGATGAACGGGAAAACGTCTTGCAGCACAGAGAATAACGGCCCCCTGAAACCCGCCGCGAAGCAGAAGAGGCCCGACCAGTGCTGAGCCTCCCCTGCCGAC